CAGGCCCGGGCTGGGGATTCAAACCTGCCACCTTAGCTGTATGTGGCTGGCGCCTTAGCCACTTGAGCCACAGGCGCCGAGCCCCAACACTTTAGATATTGGCAATTTCATATGGTTCAACCTAATTAATATGTGCAATTTTATATGGGTTAAAATGCTCATCAAAACCCTATGAAGCCAGTACTGCTGCTATCCTTACTTTACACATATGGAAACTGAAGCTTTGAAAAGCAATGGGGCTTCAGATCCAGGATGTTGGGCTCCCAAGTGCAATCTTAACCACTATATACTTTAACTCCTATAAAATTTTTTTAAAGAGGCAGGAGCAGAATGCTTCCTCCCTTGGACTGTCAACCCCTGAAGGTGTCACACAGGAGTCAAGAAAGGTGTGGCTACAAGTCATGGGTAGGCAGTCTGCAGCCCACAATCACCATGGATCTAAGGGCACTGTGGGCCATAGGTGGAATCTCACCTTCAGGCAGAGATGGGGTTACAGTGGCTGATACCTACACACAGAGGGAAGCTGCATTTGCTGAGAAATGAATAAGTGTGAAATTCTTTCATCTTTTGTTGTTCTGAAACTTCTTGATCTTGCCATCAAAAAGAATCAAAGCACAATCTCATGCAGAGAGCATGAAGGCGCTCTAGGCCACTTCTGCACTGTTTTGGTTAAGCCGTCCTTTGTGATAGATACAACTTTCCCTATTTCACCAAGGGGGAAGACTGAGGCCCACAAGGTTAAGTAACGTGCCCAAGGTCACAGACGGAATACATAACAGGACTTAGGATGTGAATACAGGGTTTTTGGTTCCAAATCACATGTTCTTGGCCCCTATGACACAGTTCCCTAAAATAAGGGTGCAAAAGCTATAAAGTCCTTCAAAAGGCAAAGATAGTTTTATAATACAAAGGCTGAAAGAACAGCAAGGGCAGTTCATCAGCACGTGGCCAGGTAGGCTGGCCAGGTCAGGTGGGGAGGGGGTCAGCAGCAATGGTTAGGACATGGAGCTAAGCTGGCCATGGCCACAGGTGGCAGCCTCATAACAGGGATTCAATGTCATTCTCACCGGCCACGAGGCACCCAGTACCTGGGATGAAGTCCCTGGAAGGCAGACACCCAAGACTATGCTTCTAGTTTTCAGAGCTCTGCCTCTCTGAAACTCAGATTCTGCAGCTCTAATGCAGTGATTTTCAACCAGTGTGCCAGGAGAGAATCTAAGGTAGGCCACAAACATTTTTAAAGTTCATTAATTAAATTATTTTTGAAAGAAGTTCAAAGCACAATATGTATATTCTGGTTTTCACTCTTTTTTTCGATCAACATAATTTAAGTGTGCCGCAGACATTTAACTCTAGGTTCAAGTGTGCTGTGAAATGAAAAAGGTTGAAAACACTCCTCTAAAGTAAGAGTGAAAAACCAGTTGAAGCCTGGCCAACAAGACAGGTCAGGTAAGTGAGAGCAGGTGGGGTCAAAAAGGAGCTTCAGGAGTGGTTTGTCTGTAGCAAACTGGAGGGCCCTTGATAAACGCAGAGCTAAGTACCACTTTTAAAATTCCACCTGGTTGTTGTTATATTGAAATGGGGTTAGTGATGGCAGATCCTGCAGTTTTTCAAAAGAAAGTCAAAATCTGTATTTCAACTTTGGAATAACATCCAGAAGAGTAAGTTTCCAGTCATCCTGTACCGTGATGTGTAAGAAGGGCAGAAACAGCAAATCAGCTTTCTGCTTCTGTCTTTGGGGGCCTAGCTAGCCACAGTGTGTTTTTTCCCATTCACTGAGGATGGATAATTAATTAATGAATGAAAATGGAGAAAACACTGATGAGTTTATTTCTAATATCCCTGAGTCCCCTGGAGACTGTGGCACCCTGTTACTGAAGACAGCTGCAGATGAGAAACTGGGGAACAGTTTCTATTCCATCCTTCTGAGATTTATAACAGTCTCACCAGGGCATAGCAGTATTTGCAATGGAGACCAAGGGAGATGGGTAGGCAGCTAGAACCAAAGGTCCATTTCTTTCTCCACATTAGTAGTCTAAGTCGTATTAATATTCTGATCACATTTTGGATTCGTTCTTCTGGCCTTCGAGTCAGGAGCGGGTATTTGCCTACTGAACACAGGAGCTCAGCGCACCAAGGCATGCACAAAAAAGGCTACACAAGTGCCTTCTCGGAGGACCTCAGATTTCCACAGTAAAGCTGATTGACTAAGGGGCAACACAGCTGAGGAAATAAAACACCCAGTGGACACGTTCAGAGAAGCCGGGGAAGGAGCTCTTTGATGGGAGTCAGAGGAGCTGAGTGTTAGCCACATTTGACTGTCACCAGCTCTGTGACCCCGGGCAGATGAGAAGAGCAAGGGTCTCCAACTCAGACGCAGCATGGCCTACGAGGTCACACGGGGGAATGAAGCACGCCGGAGGGGCTTGCAGCAAGCCAGAGGGAGCACAGCCCATCTAATACAACTGCCAGTCATTTCCACACAATCGCTGCCATCTGGGAATGCTGGTCTGGTGTTGCCACAGCTTCTGTAGTTTTATTTGAATTCTTCCAAATGTTAAGTGTTGGCTCAAAATTACAAATACATCGCGCAGCTTTAGCAAAATACAGCCTGCGAGGCTGCTGGGTTTCAATTCCGCATCAGGGCTTGTGAGATTCTCTTGTTCAGCTGCATAAAATGAGGGCGGCTGCAACCTCAACCAGCTTAGAAAGAGTCGCTGCCCCATCTCAGGATGGGTTGTTGAGGTGGAGGGATAGGCTAAGGCAGCACATTCCTCGGTGTGTTTCTTGGAGGAGGCAGACACTTCTCAGCCAAGACGGAGCAGAGGCCGTCCTGACCCAGAGCTTTCCTGGGGTCGCCTCTTTGGGGCTTCACAGGAAGGGCTTGCTCTCAGAGGGGCCTTGCCCTCACCTGATAAACAAGGGCTTTCACTGCTTGTTTTGATTCTGCTCCCAGCTAAAAGAACATTCAGTGCCTTTCAGAAGGTGGGAAGAGGCCATGGAGACCCATATATCATAAATCGTTTTTTTCCCATTATTGGAAAACTAGAAGATACAGATGAAAAAAAAAAAAGAAGAAGAAAACAAAAATCCTACCACTTGGAGCTAATCACTGCTAGCCTTTTGGCATAAACAAAGACAAACTCCATTTCTTAAAATAGAGGCAGCCAAATGATTTCCCAGAGGAAAGTGTGCTGCACTGTAGACTCTTGAAGTAAGTGACCCAGGGCTTAGGTGGGCGGTGAGGTCAAGTCCTGGGAAATGTTGCCAAAAATTCACCCTGAGGGCACTGCATGACCCACCCAATTTTCTCTTTTGCTCTGACCTTTGTTCCATAAGCTATTATTTACTAAGTGTTTGCTAGGCACACAGAACCATCCAAAGCTCTTTCCAGGCAGTATCTCACTTTCTCCTTGTAACAAACAACCCTAGGAGGTAGATTTGGATATCTCGTCCATTTCAGAGATGAGCAAACAGGCTTGGAGACCAAGTCACTTGCACAAGATCCCCAGGCTAGTAGTAAGTGGAGGGTCAGGGCCAGGATACCCCTGTCTGACTCTGAAGTTTCAATTCTTAGTCACTTTATTTTTTACCATGTTGTCCACTTAAAAAAAAATAAACTTTTTAATGTTGAAATGATTTTAGACTTACGGAAAGTTGTAAAAAAAAGATGCCCTGCACTAGCCTTTACCCATCTTCACTGTTACCCAGTGCTAACATCTGGCAGAACCACAGACTAATTATCAGACGCGATCGGGTGTGTTCAGGGTGGTACGGCCATAGCACAGAATAATTATCACACGTTGGAAGTTAACTCTGGTACAAGACCATGAGCTGAAAGACTGGCTTTATTCAGATTTCTCCAGTTTTTCCACCTAGGTCCTTTTTCGGGGTTCCGGTCCCTGTCACGGGGTTCAATTCAGGATTCCACATTGCATTTAGCTGTCACATTTCCTAATTCTTTTCTAAGCTGTAAGTTTTCAGTCCTTCCCTGTCTCTCATGACTTGGGCCCTTTTGAAAAGCATTATTCCCACCTAATTTTTTTTTTTTTTTTTTAGAATGGCACTCAATTTGTGTTCATCTGATATCTTCTCCTACTTATACTAAGATTATACATTTTGGCTAGAATATACAATGGCCAACAGAAATCAGTGATAGTAACCCTGATGCTTGGTTAAGATGCCATCAGTTTTTTCCATTGTCCATTGACAGTTACTACCATACTATCAGCATCTCAGGGGTGATAGTTTAAGACTACAAAAATATCCTGTTCTTCTCAAAGTTTTTTTAAACCATTTTTAAGTGCACTGGGGCATTAAGTATATTCACATTGCCATACAACTATCACCACCACCCATCTCTAGAACTGAAACTCATCTTATCTGAAATTTTGTCCATTAAACACTAACTTCTCTTTCCCTAGCAACCACCATGAATTCATTATGCTTCCATGAATTTGCCTACTGCAGAATATTGAATGTTATTCAATATTCTCAAAGTTCTGCTCACTAATTTTAACATCAATTTTAACATCCCGTAGCATAGTGGTTTCAGCATCAGCCACATGCATTGAACAGGGCAGGTCTGAGCCTGGCCAGGGCCAGCTAAACAACAATGACAACTGCAATAAGAAAATAGCTGGGCATTGTGGTAGGCACCTATAGTCACAGCTACTTGGGAGGCTGAGGCAAGAGAATTGCTTAAGCCCAAGAGTTTGAGGTTGCTGTGAGCTGTGACCATGGCACTATACCCACAGCGACATAGTGAGACTCTATCTCAAAAACAAACAAACAAAAAACCAAAAACTCCATTGACAGATTTTGCCTGCAACAATCATTATTACATTCTATTGGTGATTTTCTATTTTCCACTCCTTCTACTCATCTGCTTTTGAAAGCATTGAACTCTTGCTTTGAATCACTCAAAGACAAATCAATCAAGTTTATTCAAATTCTTGGAGAGAAACAATTAGCAAGGGGTACTTTCTTTCAGTTGCTATTTTCTAGGAGAAAGGTGCAGACCTATTCCATACTTGTACATCAGGACTAGCTACGTAATTTGCAGGGTAGAGTGCATAGTGAAAATGTGAGGTCTCTGTGTTAAAAATTATTGAGAATTTTAAGCTGGTGACAGTAGAGTTTTCAACCAGCTGCAGAGCCCTTCTGGGTTCTGTGCTACTGCATGTCCAGGAAGGCCACCCTGTTGAGCAACCTTACCTAGCTTGTTAGGACTACTCACCTACTTGCTGGTTCTGCAGGGTCCTATGGACAAGCAGCTGTGTCTGACCACCGGCCATGTCTAGAGGTCCCCTCCACGACCACCCCCCTAGGCAATCAGAATCTCATTCTAAGTCTTTTTTTCCCTGCTTCATTCAGATGGGAAAGAGACTCACTGCTTCTCTTTAACTGACCCGTCACTGGGCTAACAATAATCTCCAGCCAGGCTTCTATTCTAGCCTGTGGAATCCCAGAGCAGAAATCCCACCAGCTTACCACAATGGAGGTCAGGTCCTCACTCTCAAAGCGGCTGATGGCCTGGTCCAAGGATTTATACATGGCGGCAGAAATGCGCTGGGTGATGAGTCTGTTCAAGTCAATTGATCTACCCAATAGCTAGAGGAAAGAGGGAGAGAAAAAATGACTTAAGATTCACTCAGATACCTGACAAATAAATGCAATGCAAAGATGGGAGACTGGATTAAAAGGGGGGATTACTAGGACATTATGGAGATTGTATTTTAAAAGAAGTATTAAGTTTTCTGAATATGATCATTCTATTTTAATTTTATAAGAGAATGTTGTTGTACTCAGGAGATATAGGCTGAGACATTTAGGGGCAGAATCTTATGATATCTGCATCTTACTTTCTTTTTTTTTTTCCTTTTTTGGCCAGGGCTGGGTTTGAACCTGCCACCTCTGGCATATGGGGCTGGCACCCCACTCCTTTGAGCCTCAGGCGCCGCCCTGCAACTTACTTTCAAAGGTAAAGAGAAAAAGCATGCATACGAATACACTTACTGTATACATGTGTAAGACAAAATATATACATGAGAAGAAGAAAGTGAATTAAATGTGGTGAAACATTAATAACCACAAGTCTAGCTATAGGGTAGACGAGTGTTCACTGTGTTATTCTTTCAACTTCCCTGCAGACTTTAAATATATCAAGTTTAGGAAAAATGTGATTCATTCAGGCTGTGGGAAAAGGCTCAGGGTAGTCGCTGGCTCCCTGTAAATGCTTCTGCTGACATCCTAAATTTAGCCCTGAGGTTCTTCCTATATCTTTCCTGTGCTCAATTCAGTAATTCAGCCACCAGGGAACAGCAGCCACCTCAGCAAGGGTCCACTTTGGGCTTTTATGGGGGGAAATTTAAAAGCAAGAGGAAGAAGGAGTGATTACAGGATGCAAAATACAGCTTCAGACCCTTTCCCCTGGGGTGCTCGGGGGCATTATTGCAGATACTATGTAGATAACAGTGAACATTCACTGAGTACCTGCTGTGTCCTCAGCACTTTGCTCGGTGCCCAGTGATTATTTAACTACTTTATTTTTTCTGCTTCCCTTTTGGGATAAATTTTCTACCAACTGACTAGGGCTCCTGATAGCCATCTCATGCACACATAAAGCCCTCCGTATTTTAATATCCTGTGGCTAATTCTGGCTGCCTCGTAACTGATAGCAGTAATCTTCTGAGACTCTGAGGAAAAGCTCTCCTTGAGCCACTGCTGCTGGCTGAAGTGAGTTTTTTGTTTTCCCTCTTAGCAATATTCCATTTCTCTTAGATTTCTCGTAGCAATGGGAAGGTTCAGGGTTCCTGGGTGAGTTCTTTCCTTTTCTCGTAAGGCATGTCTCAGCCACAGCCCTGACCCTTCACCAAGACCAGGACCACGTAACAGACACACAGACACCCCAGCAGAAAGGCCATTCTGTCTGGCCCACAGCAGGGCTCCAGCTCTTACTCTGTCTGTCTGGCGCACATGAACAGTTCTAATTGGGGATATGTTTCTCAGCTCCCAGAAACATTTCCTTTCCATCTTGGGTCACCTCCTAACAGAAACCAACTCCACAGACACAAAACAATTTCTACCCCGACATACTTCATTTCGAAGGTGCGATGGTCCTCCTTTACTTTGACCAGCACTTAAGCCAAGTTCAACGACCCATCTCTGAGCACAGTTTCAACAGAAAGAGTGGGCTACAGCCTATGATGGGAAGATGAAAGCTTTGGTGGCACCGACTTGTCAGTGGTCAGAGGCAGATGGGTGCAAAAGCCTAGAATGTCAACTGAAGGAAGCTCAATGCCTCTATGATTTGCAAGATTCTGAAGCTGTGTTACACTGATGCTCAGAAATCCACACTGGGCAATACACAGGGCAATACACAGGGCAGACAGTGCCTGGTGCTGGCTTCTGGCCTCTACACTAACTTTGCTCTGGCCTGCCTGCTCCATCCCCATGGTGGCTTTCTGTCACCATACCTGGACGTGCCTCTGTTTCAGCAGCGTTTCGTAACGGTTGGATGGTGGGTAGGGAATGATGACTCCATAATTCTTACATTCAGCTCTAAAACGTTTATCCAACAGGACACTGGAAGAGAGAAAGGTTAAATAAGGCCTGTAAACAGGACAGTGGATGGCTCTCAACTGCCCAGCTGCATCTATTTCAGACCATGGGATCTCCTCATGGGCACCGTCTTACATAGCTTTTTTACTGTGTGCGTGAGATGGGTCTGGCTCTGTCTCCCAAGCGGAGGTGTAAACTAGCACAATCCTAGCTCACTGCGGCCTGAAACTCCTGGGCTTAAGCGATCCTCCCATGCCAGCCTCCCAAGTAGCTGGGCTTACTAGCATCGGACACCATGCCCAGCCAATTTTTCTTATTTTTGTAGAGATAAGGTCTGGCTATGTTGCTCAGGCTGGTCTTGAACTCCTGTCCTCAAGCAATCTTCTCTCCGTGGCCTCCCCAAGTGCTGGGATTACAGGCATAAACTACCACACCTGGCCTATGTATCTTACATATAATTTTTCTGCTCTGGAGCAAGGTTCTTCAAATTTCTTTTCAACTACAGAAGCTCAACGTGCCCAACAGAGTTTCTAGGTTAAAGGTGGGCAACACAGAAGCTGAGGAGCCGCTTCCCTCTTTTGTTCCTTTACCACCAAAGCAACCGAGTGCATGCTTGGTACATCCCACGAACCATTCTAGTACTGGGGACACGAAGTTCCTGTCCTCATGGGGCTCACATTCTAGGGACCAGAGACCGATGATACAAAAATAAGCAAACGAATGACATCATTTCAGACAACTGTAAACATCTGCATGGTGTTTGCAATTTCCCAGGCACCTCCCAGGCACACCACGCACACACCCCAAGTCATTTTAATCTCACAACAATCCTCTGAGTCAGGTGTGCTCATGTCATCTACTGCTGGCTCGCTGTTGGGACCACGTCCGCTAAGTCCACAGACACGCATTCAGCAACCACTCTGTGAAAGGCTGTGTTCTCTGCGCTGTCCCTGAAATCCTCACCACATGCTTTCTAGACTTCCCGTCACCGGAGAGTCATTCTCCTTACTCAGTGTACGTCCTGTGTTAACACGTGTGTGTGTGTGCTGCTCATCGACTCCTATGTGAAGTA